CTGCTTCTCCCTCTGACCCTCCTCCCTCTCATGCTCTCTGTCTCTCATTCTTTCTCTCTCAAATAAATAAATAAAATCTTAAAAAAAAAAATACTTCTGTACTGTTGCTTTTTTTGAAGTACATATATGATAAATTGGTTGGGGAGAGAGCTTGTAGGAGGAAATATGAAGAATCTTACCTAAATCCTAAAAACAAAACAAACAAACAAATGAAAAACAGAAGAAGAAGAAAAAGGATACGTCAAAATCTATCTGGTGGTCATGACCTATAAAGGGTCTCCATGTTGGTTCTTCCCCCTGGAATGCATCCCATTTCTCCATCAGCTCTGCGTGCTCAGACTCTGCTCTCTGAGACCCAGCCTTTGCTCCTTCTTCGTGAAGGGTTTCCTCTCTGCTTTCTTCAAACCTCATGCTAGAAACGATGTCTCCCACTTGTGAATGGTCTTTTCTTGTAGTACCAGAAGTTCTTGTATCCTCATCTGATTTCCCCGGAGAATCAGAAGTTCCTAACAGGTTATACTGCTGTTGACACAGAGATAAAACAGTGGCAGTAATCTCGAAAGGAACATACATAACATGATAGAAGTAAAAGCGAATGGTGTGTCATTTCCGTGAGAGCTGATGCAACCTTGGACTCCTGGGCCATTGATGGTGGAGGTCTGAGGAGGCTCAAGGCATGTGTGTTGGTCGCAGGTTTCCAGTCCTCCTGCTCTCTTCGCCTTATCCAGCCAGACCCCTGGGACCCTCTGATAGCTGTTTGGTTTTAGCCTTGATTCTCTGAAGCCTGCACTTGACCCCAGACAAATGAGTTCTCTTAGCAAATCCTGCACTTCCGTTCGTTCAACAAATACTGAGCAGCTCCCCCACAGGGGCCCTATGGAGGGCCTGGTGGGCATGCACGTTAGGCTTTTTATTTTTAACATTTTCCTCTTAACGTGCTCATGCATCTGTCTCTTTCCACAGGGTAGCGATGGTGCTCGGAGATCCCCGCTACTGGATAGCGATGAGCCCTTGGTGTATTTCTACGATGATGTCAGAACCTTATATGAAGGCTTCCAGAGGGGCATCCAGGTGTCAAGTAAGCATTTTCTGAACTTGTGTGACTAATGCTTAACGATTTTCATTCAGAACAAACAAGTGGTCTCTCTTGAGGAAGTTGTATTTGCTCTCATCTTCCATCTACTTCCACCTGTTCAAGTCCCCCTCCTCCCATAGCATCTCCCAGAGTGAGCCCCAAAGCACATGAGCCCCTCTTGCTGCTCCCCAGGTAGAGTGGGTTCTATGGTCAAATAGGTTTGCAGCGTGTCCTGGGTTTTATGGAGAGTCTCACATACATCAGCTCATTATTGGGCTCTGACATTTCCTGAGGTCAAAAGACAGGTTTAACAGGGCCTGATCCAACATTTTCCGACTTACTTGACCATGAGACCCATATTTTGAGAAATGAACACCGACATGCCAAGGAAGCAGCGTTCTATGAGACCCTTTGCAAGGGTCGGCTCATGGGACCAACGCTTCCGTACTAACAGTGGCCTGAGAAACCCGGCCTGCCCTCCGCGGCTCCTGCCTACCTTTCCAGCCTCTCTCCCTGCCAGGCTCCGGGTAGACTCTCCTCAAGTTACGCTGAACTTCTTGCAAAACCTGGACCTCCTCCCCTTTCTCATAACCCCATGCCTTTGTGCGCTTGTCTTTTTCCTGATCATAAAGCCTCTTCTTTCCCACCTCCAGCCCAGGGTGCTTGCTATGCACTTACTAACCCTCTGCAGCTCCTGTTGCATTTCTCCCTTTTCTGTAACGCCACCCTAGTCTGTCATTTTCATCTCCTACCTCCAGGTGAGGGGCCCCCCCTCCCCCAGCATCTTGTACTTATTCCTGTAATAGCCCCGCCAGGGCACAGAGGCATTCACCTGCTGTTCTGTCCCACTCGCCAGGGCTCCTTGAACAGGTGGCCGTCTCTTCTCTCGGCACTAGTACACAGTAGGTGCTCCATTAATGTGTCCTCAGTGATGGAGAGAGTACCCCGCCCCTGCTTCCCGCGCCCCCCTTTGTGTTTTAGCCTCTTCGTTTTGGCTTGTTCCAGGTTACTCCCTAGAAATGGTCTCTGGGATCCATGTTTGTTATTTAAATCTTTTGGTGGTTAGCCTTTATTTTTGCTACAACTAGCTAGACTAGAGTCCCCTGACAGTCAGGGACTGCATAGGACATGTGCTCAAAAGTGCCCTGTGTTTTACTGGGTACTGGTAACATCGGATTGCTCTAATGTGTTTTTGACCAGTATTGCTGTAACAGATTCATTAAGCCCCATTCTAAAGAGAAAGCAAACTTCTCTATTATGAACTTGTTCAAAGTCAGTGTCAGGGTCAGGGTTGGTCTATGATAGTAAATATCCATATAGCCACTTCAAAATATTTATATATTAAACACTTCTCTATGTATAGATGTGTATATATGTATATAGAATCTTTCCCATTACCACAAAGTCATGTGTAGAAATGTTCTTACATTTTTCTAGCAGAGAATGAATTCATCCTGGTAGTATGGTGACTTACATTATACTTCTGACTCTCCTCTGACCTCAAGACAGTACCTTTATTTTTTTGGTCACTTTCTGTACTTAGAAAATGAAAGTCTTATATGAATGTTTCAGAGAAGTTGAAGAAAACAGAGCTCACTCTTCTTAACCTATACTGATTGAAGGAAGCTGCTTTGCAGGTCACTTTTGCCTTCTTTTTTTTTTTTTCCAAGAGGAGCTTTTTATTCTAAGGTTTTTTTTTTTAAGTATTTTTTTTAAAGATTTTATTTATCTATTTGAGAGGGAGAGAGCACGAGCAGGGGGGAGCGGCAGGGAGAGGGAGAAGCAGACTCCCCGCTGAGCAGGGAGCCCGATGCTGGGCTTGATCCCAGGACCCTGGGATCATGACCTGAGCCGAAGGCAGACGCTTAACCGACTGAGCCACCCAGGCCCCCTTATTCTAAGGTTTAATTTTCCTAGACTACCATAAGATAAGCCTGTATAGGAGAGCAAAAACCAGCATCTAGATAAGGTAGTTGGGAGTTTGTTGAATGACAGGAGAAGCCAGCGTGGAGTTTTTAAACCTCGTCTTTTCAAACTGTACACAGGGAGCTGCTTATATGGAGGAGGCCTCTGTCTGTGATTCTGTGGATTCTTGTCCCTGGCTGCACTGCAATATCCCCTGGGGAGCTTTGAAAAAATACTGAGGCCCAGGCTCCATCCCCATCCAATTATATCAAAAATTTGGCTGGGTGATGGACACTGGGGAGGGTATGTGTTGTTATGAGCACTGGGTATTGTATAAGACTGATGAATCCCAGACCTGTACCCCTGAAAGAAATCATACATTATATGTTAATTAATTGAATTTAAATTTTTTTAAAAAGTTTAAAAAATTTTTGGTTAGTAGGGCCTGGGTATGGTATTTTTTTAAGTTCCTACTGTCCTGGAGCTGGGGTCTGCAAACCTTTTCTGAAAAGGGCCAGATAGTAAATATGTGGGCTCTTCGGGCCACGTGGTCTCTGTTAGGCCTGCTCAGCTGAAGGTTTTAGATAATATGTAAACGAACGAGTGAGGCTATGTTCCATAAGACTGTGTTTACAAAAACAGGTGGCAGGCTTGATTTGGCTGCAGCCTAGACATTGCCAGTCCCTGTTCTCGAAGAATAAAATAACGTTTCATATGGCACATGTCTGAAAACAACTGATGGAACTTGAGGTATCTGGCCTGGTCTTCACTGCAGTCCCAGTGAATGGCAGAGGGTCTGAGAATGAGGCCCTTTGTGCTCTTTCTGTTTTCATCAGAGCAGTAGAGACAGCCAAAAGTCAGTGTGAAGCAGTGAATCGGTCCAGCCTGGGTCCTCCCCATCCTCACAACTGACCCACACACGCGCGCATCCCACTTCTCTTCTCCAGGACAAAACTCCATGTCATGGGCCCAGCCTCGTCAGAGCTGCTGATGGGGCCGTGCTCTGCCTTCCTGCCCCCGTCCTCCAGGCCCCCAAACCGGATCAGGACACCTTAGCTGACACTCAAACCCAGAATGGGGAAGCCGCATACATTATAGTCTCAAAACAGAAATGTAGAGGGGCGCCTGGGTGGCTCAGTCGTTAAGCGTCTGCCTTCGGCTCAGGTCATGATCCCAGGGTCCTGGGATCAAGCCCCGCATCAGGCTCCGCAGGAAGCCTGCTTCTCCCTCTCCCACTCCCCCCTGCTTGTGTTCCCTCTCTCGCTGTGTCTCTCTCTGTCAAATAAATAAAATCTTAAAAACAAAACAAAACAAAAAACAGAAATGTAGATCCCCTGTTCCAGAGGGGAGGTGACAAAAAACACCCTGTAGAAGGAATGATGAGGCCCAGCTTACCACAGAGCTGGCGGGCGAGCCTGGGTTAGTTAGGAAGCATTCTTGTACGTGGTCAGCTCTGATCATCGGAATGTGGCAGCTTTTTCTTTTTTTTTTTTTTTAGGTGGACATAGCTTTTCCTTCAACAGCTACAAACTGAGCATAAAGTGAGCTTGGAGTTAATCTGTAGAAGGAATCTCATGATTCCAAATATAAATGATTCGAGTGATATTTATTATTACTGTGCTAGCCCTTAGCGTGAATACTTAATATGGGTCTTCTTGCTTCCTGCTTATTCAGTACGTAAATTAGAGTCAGGACACATCCTGATATTTCTTAGTTTTTGCTTTCACAAATATCCCCTATTTTCTCCTGATTTTGCCTCTTTTCCTCATTTTTGTTTCTCTGCAATTAAGGCTTCACCCGTGTAAGTACATCCCAGGTCATCAGAATTTGGGCAATTAAGAGTCATCTTTTCCTTCTTATATTCTGAGTTAGAATGCATTACACTTTAGAAATTTTGAGGAATTCTTCTGAAAACCTACACCAGGATTTCTTTACCATGCAGCTACTGACTCCTTTCTAAACCAATAGGGTATGGAAGAATTCACAGACTGAGTGTCCTTAAAAATTGTATTTGCCTCATATCCTTTTTTTTTTTAAGATTTTATTTATTTCTTTGAGAGAGAGTGGGTGAGAGAGAACAAGCGGGGGAGCAGCAGAGGGAGAGGGAGAAGCAGACCCCCTCACTGAGCAGGGAGCCTGATGTGGGACTCGACCCCAGGACCCCCGGATCATGACCCGAGCCGAAGGCAGAGGCTTAACCGACTGAGCCACCCGGGCGCCCCTGCCTCATATTCTCTTATCTTTCCTCTTCTCCTGCCCCATTTAAGAAACAAAACAGAAACAAACAAAAAATCAGACAAGAACCCAGGGAGAACACATTTCCAATCTGAACTCCTTATTTCTAATCTGGGGACCAAAGTCTACCTGATACTTTGTAGAATAAAGTGGGATACAAATTAGAATATTTATGCACGTTAAATCCATTTTTTTGTTTTTTCCTTTTTTTTCCCTTTTTTTAGATAATGGCCCATGTTTAGGCTCTCGGAAGCCAGACCAACCCTATGAATGGCTTTCATACAAACAGGTGAGTTTTCTGGTTCTGTGGGTCGTCATGCATGCCGTGGGGCTGAAATCCATCTGTTCTTGGAGCCACTGACTGTGAGGGCTGTAAGCTTGCTGTAGAATCTGTGCACTGGACTAGCTCAGAGCTCTGGGGTAAACGTGCATCATCCAAAGGGAGAAGTTTTACACAAAGATTTGGGAAAAACTGGTTGAGTAACTTAATTGGTGGGTCAAAAGCACTTTCTTGTAGACCTGAAGTGGATGCATTGTGAAGTAGAATATAATTCTATGATAACGTTCTAGAAATGTGTTTGAAGCAGGTGACTCTCTCCCAGAGCCCATGGGGGGATAGAAATTCTCTGCCTTGCGGGGTACTAGAGACATTTAGAAGCCCCAATATAGAGCAACTCTCTCATTTTATAGATGAGAAAACATCCCCTAGGAAAGGACGGGACTCGCCTAAGGTCACAGCTGGTCAGTGGCAGAAACAGGACCAGAAGTGAGCTCCACATCTTCTGGTCTAGGGCTCTTCAGTGCATCGTATGAACCCGGCCAGCTTGGGACTGGTGTGACATTGAACCCCAGGGCAGCCACAGCGAGCGGTACAGAGGCTCAGAGACGACACCTGCAGTATCGTACAAGCACAAAGCTGGGATCTGGGCGGATTTATTCTTGTCCCTCTGCAAGCCCAGCTGATCCACAGCTGCAGCTGTTTAAATAGTTTCTGACAGCAGGGAGCAGAGCAGGAAGACATTGCTTTTTATTTTTATCGTGATAACAGGATATCTCGAAGCTCCTGCTTCCCCTGCCCCCATGGACGTAGGACCCCAGGGGTGTATGGAAGCCACTGGAAGTGTCCGCTCTGCTGCCTTTTGTTTCCAGCACAGCTGTCCAGGAAGCAGCTCTGTGCTCTAGGGGCAGGTCGTCCTGTGGCATTCGTGAATACAAATGAGCTTCCTCCTTCCATGTTTGGTGTGAAGGGTGCTTCTAGCAGTTGGCACGCTCTGGAGTGTACGTGACGGGGGATGGTCACGAGGAGCCCCAAGGAGCCACGAGGAACTCCTGAGGCCCTCCCTAGACTGAGAGACACACCGCACGCTCTTCCCCTGCGCTCCTCTGAGGAGGAATGAAATGCAAAGGCTTTGCTTGCGTAGCTCTTGACGGAGAGCAAAGAGGCAAAACAGCTCGGTGTACCTTTCTTGTGGAAGGAGCGAAGAGCTGTGTAGCCCCAGGGGCCAGAGGGAATCCACCGCTTTTATTTTGCATTACCAGAGCTAAAATAAAGTTGCTGCGGAGCCTCCTCATTTTCACACGTGGTGTATAAACAGTTGATGTGTGTTGGACACATAATGTTGCATGGTGGGGCTTCAGGCCTCACAGAATCCCCAAGTGCTGTCTGGTTCCTTCTGTTGTATGCTGGCTGGAAGGCAGAGAAGGCAAGTCCACGGCAGATTGGATTTTTCGAGGCGGGGTGAAAATCAGTGCGTTTTCTGAAGGCGTTAATCTGTGTTTTTGTACATTTCAGCCAGAGGCTGGTGACGATCTAAAACTAGACCCATGGGTGGGGCGCCTGGGTGGCTCAGTCGGCTAAGCGTCTGCCTTCGGCTCAGGCCGTGATCCCAGGGTCCTAGGATCAAGCCCCGAGTCGGGCTCCCTGCTCTGCAGGGGGCTTGCTTCGCCCTCTCCCTCTACCTGCTCCCCCTGCTGTGCTCTCTGTCTGTTAAATAAATAAAGTCTTTAAAAATAAATAAATAACACTAGACCCACGGAAGCCAACTCTGGATTTGTACATTCAAGTGTTTTCGTTAGCCTAGCGACTCTGACCTTTGTGGGGCTAGGAGCCCCTTTGAGGTTTTCTCAAGAAAGGTATGGAGCCTCTTTCTAGAGCTAGAAATGCCTGCAGGTTATCCCGATACGCTCTGCAAACCACGGCAGCATTTCACGGGTTCCCATCCCCGACATGCGAGCAGAGGTTGTGAAACAGGCTGTGAGTAGAAAAACAGTAAGCGTATTCGTATCATTCTTGCTGTCACCTCACCTGTGTCAGCCCTCCTTCCCATAGGCAGAGTGCAGAGTTCTGGGCCAGAAGAGATGTGGCTTTATTCCCTACAGGCGTGGGTGCAATTTCAAAGTGCTCTTGAGAAGCCATCAATTGAGAATCAAGAAAATGATTCCAAATTTGAAGATTAAAAAAAAATTATTTTTTAGTTACTTTGGGATAGGAATGGGGAGAGGACAGGGCCAGGTTTATAGTCCCACCTAATTTTTATGAATCTACCTATTTTTACTTGCAATAAGAGTATTTATTTTCTTATTTATTTATTTTACTTAAAATTGTTACAAGTTTTTTGAAGGTGTCCCCCAAATTTGCTCTTCCTGTATTTATAGCAAATGACAAGTTTTGGCTGCTTTGCTGCTCTTTATAACTACCAATAGTCACAGTAATAATAATAATAATTCTGTGTCCTTGTATTACTTTTATAATTTTATAAAACTAAACTGTAAAATAGAAATGTGTCAGAAGGCCTGGCATCCACTGACCTGTGACCTGCAGCTGTCGGGATCTGATTCGTCCGCTTCGCAGAAGGAGCCCTGTGATCAGTTCCCTTAATGGTGTGTTCTGGTGAATCAAGCCTTGCGTTTTACAAAAATGTAGAGCAGAAAGAGTGCCTGTTTGCTCCCGCTCTCCCCCTTGGTGCGGGGCTGCTTGCTGGCCGAGATGTCAGGCTTGGCCGTCACCCCGTGAGCTTTGTTCCTTGCATTGGGCCTGACGCAGTTCCTGATATTTGTCCTCCCCATTCTAGGTTGCAGAGATATCCGAGTGTGTGGGCTCAGCACTCATCCAGAAGGGCTTCAAGCCTGCCCCGGATCAGTTCATTGGCATCTTCGCTCAGAACAGACCCGAGGTATTGACCATGAGACAACAATTGTGTGTGGTGTTGAGAGTTCTCAGATGGAAGAGCCAGTTGGGAGGTCACACCTACCTTTGCCCAGGACCTGATTTTGTGCTCTGATCTCTACTGAGAATATATGTCTCTGTGTTACTCCTTAGAAAGTGACACAGTTATCTTATGATCTCGCTGATAGGTGGAATTTAAGAAACAAAACAGAGGATCATAGAGGAAGAGAGGAGAAAATAAAACAAGATGAAATGAGAGAGGGAGACAAACCATAAGAGACTCTTAACCATAGGAAACAAACTGAGGGTTGCTGGAGGGGAGGTGGGGGGATGGGGTAACTGGGTGACAGACATTAAGGAGGGCATGTGATGTAATGAGCACACCGGGTGTTATATAAGACTGATGAACACTGACCTCTACCTCTGAAACCAATAATACATTATATGTTAATTGAATTTAAATAAAAATAAATAAAATTTTTTAAAAAGTGCCACATATGAAAACCCAAGCCAGGGCCTCCTTGGCCTTTATGTTGCAGTGGGTGGGGGGAATCACTTTTTGGATTATTGGTTTTGTTTTTTTAAAACCAGGTCTCAAACAAAAACTAACAAAGAGGTTACTAGAACAAATAACTCACAAAGACTCTTCTTACCTTAAGGCTTATGTCTGTGATTAGAAAAATAGCATCTGTAAATTGTAGAGAAACGTGGACACATTTTTGTCAGTTGCAGACTCTCCTCTTTGCTCTCTGAAAGGTAGGAGCTTGCCCTCTGATCAGGTTACAAAATTTAAAATACCCCGAGCAGCGGGGAAAGTGCCTTGACCCTGAGTCAGCCTTAATGTGGGGGTGCAGTCTATCTGGCTGTCAAGTGCGCTGCATCGTACTTCTGCAGATCCTTGCATTAAAGGTCAGTTTATGTGAGAAGCCCTTTTGGAGCTGTTGCTTATAGTGTTCATGAACAAATTAGTGGCATAACTTGGCTGGGAAAAATTCAAGCACCTAAGCTTGAAGGAATTGAATTGATTCTTGTGTCCAAAAGACGTGTGGGCTCCATCCCTGTGCTACCGACTGTTTTATAAATGAGGATGGTTTCCTACAGTTTTATGTATTGGCACGGGAAAAAGAGCGTTTTCCCACAGCTGGACGACCAGGCTCATGAAATTTAGTTTCTTTCATCTCAAGTAAAACTCATTCAAGGGAACACATCCCAGATTTTTGCGTGAGTGGAATTTTATAATGAACCTATCACGAGGACAGGTATTCCTTACTTCACAGAGTAAGCTCCTTCCTGTATTTATCAGCTAGTTTAATAAATGTTTATTGAGCATCTACTATATGCCAGGCACTGTGAGGCTCCAAAGCAAAACAGTGACTTGGATCCTCCTCCTAAGGTACCATGTGAGGGAACACTGGCCCATAAGCTGATGCTTTCTCTGTAGCGTGGTAAGCGTGGACACAGGGAAAAAGGATTATGGGAGCTCAGTCAAGGAGGACTTCCTGGAGGTGGCCTCCCAGTGGCGTGTTGAAGGATGTGAGGGTGGGGGAGCCAAGGGAATGTCAGGAACAACCACATGTTTGCATCAAGCAGCATGTCTGTGTTGGGGAAGGAGGCATTTTCTTACGGTAGAGCTTGGAGGTGCAGGAAAGACAGGACCACATGTACCACACGGCCCTGCTGAGGAGCTTGGACCCGACCTCCATGTTCACAGCTTCAAATTGGTGCCAGGAAAGCAAAGGGGGAAAAATATTTCCGGGCCAAGTGAATATGAGTGCGTCGTGCTCCCTTCCTACAGCAGCTACGTCTTTATCTGTGCGTCAGCGTTCTGCAGGGGATTCGAGAACCGCAGCTGGAGGTTAACGGTGCCGCCAAGGATTTTAAGTGAAAGGCTGATCTCACCATGTTTGCCGTGTAGACTGAGTAGTTGCCGCATGGCTGATGAGTTTAGAGGCAAGGGGACCGGTTACTGTATCATAACGTCTTTCCCTTCACCACTTTTCTGGGGAGATTTTGCCAGAACATTTTTCCTGTTACACAAGTGTGTGTCCCTCCTTCCCCAGTTCCCAGGTCCTACTGCACACAGCTGCCAGGTTGGTCTTCCTCAGACCCAGAGCCTCTGTTGTGCCGAGAAGCCCTCCGCAGCTGTGCATCCCCCCGGGGAATGGAGCCAGGCCCCTCCCTAGCCGCAGCCTTGCTCCTCCCACCATAGCCTTGCCTACTGGAACACCCATTCCGGCCAGGGTGCTTACCCCGCTCTTCCCTGCTCTCCATCATGCAGTCTCCACTACTGGGGTCTCCTTGCCTTTCTCTCTGTCTGTCCAAACCGTGCTGCCTTGGCAAAGGGTGAGCTCAGTTACCTTCCCCGAAAAGGTGGCCCACCGTGGTCTTCCTCGTGTCCAAGTCGGTCACTCTCTTATATTGTTAATTATCTTTTCCCATATTTGCCTCAGTTCTTCCGGCAAGTTGCTCTTTCCTTCGAAGAAGGGGGCAGGTGTTTTGTTCTCATGATGAGTCCCTCATGGTGCCTGGCACATGGTAGTAGACACACAAGTGTGAATTTTGTCACGTCTCGTGTTTCCACTTTGAATCTCTCTAGAGTGTTGTTCTCCTTGGAGTGGTTCCATGACGACATCTCGTTCTCTTTCCCCGATCTTTACTGTTCATTTAGTGGGTGATCATTGAACAGGGATGCTTTGCTTACTCTATGGTGGTCGTTCCCCTCTATGATACCCTTGGAACAGAAGCAATCACCTACATAGTCAACAAAGGTATGTCTGTGGTTTCCGGGTGGACGTTGGCCTAGTTATCAGCTAGATTTGGTCACTTTACATTTGGTTATATTTGATTTGATAGGCATTTTATGTTTATTTTTTTAAAGGTTTTATTTATTCATTTGAGAGAGAGAGAGGGGAAGAGAGAGAGAGAGCATAAGAACCGGGGCAGCGGTGGAGGGAGAGGGAGAAGCAGACTCTCCTCTGAGCAGGGAGTCCAACACGGGGCTCGATCCCAGGACCCCGGGATCATCACCTGAGCTGAAGGCAGACACTTCACTGACTGAGCCACCCAGGCGCCCCCAGGATTTTATGTTTAAATGCACATCTATCTTTCTATTCAAAGACTGTAGTTCTTAAAATAACCTAGCGTCAGATATGATACAGTCAGGCTTTTAATATCTCAGAGCTCATTCTTCATTGTGTCTCTTCCTTCCCAGCTGAACTCTCTCTGGTTTTTGTTGACAAGCCAGAGAAGGCCAACCTCTTATTAGATGGTATGGAAAATAAGTTAACACCAGGCCTTAAAACCATTGTCCTCATGGACTCCTATGGCATCGATCTCTTGGAACGAGGCAAAAGGTGTGGTGTGGAAATCACCAGTATGAAGGCAATGGAGGTGAGTTATCCTGCCCACTTCTCTGATAGGTGCCCCTGTGGCCATTTTGGCTCAAATGCGGTATCCAGTGCAATCACACAATCCCAGCTCAGCAACCCATAACAGACGCAGAGTGGAAATTCCTGTCTCCTTACTGGAAAGAAGAATTCTGCATGCATGCCCCACTGTGAATTCATCACATAGAAAGTATTCTCATAAGACAAGTTGCAATGCTCACATATTTATTCTAGAGTACTGACAGGCCACGCCAATATATGGTAGAAACGTGCATTTCCAATTCAGGCGGAGATTTAAGTTTGTATGTCCTTATAGTAGCTTTCATGCCATTTACTTACTGATTTGTTTCTAAAACAGAGCCCGCTACAGAAATCTGCCTCATTATTCTTTTTCCCAAGTTGTGAATTTCCAGCATAGATGTTGGATTTGGTTTATTTTTATATTAAATTTCTTAAGATTCACATTAATCAACACTTTAAAGGTAATTACCATTCTAGGAAAATGAGTGGGGCCTATGTTTAAATCGGTTGTTTGACATAACATCGTGTAAGAAGCTGAATCTCCCAGTAGGATTTGGATTAGAGTTTAATCCTAAGAAGCTGGTAAGAGGAGGATCTTGTCAGGTACATATCACTGGAATAGGCTAAATACAGTAAGTTGTTCTCCTTCCGAAAATGTTATAAATATTTTCCTGGAACTGTTATAAATAGGGTTTCAAATTTTATTTATAGTTCTCCTTCTACAAGGAATTGGAGGCTACAAACAAGGGTCTATGTAATACCTTTACAGAGGAACTTAGCCTTCATAGGGAAACTGTAATTTGTTCTAACAGAGCCTCTGTCACATACACACACACACACACACACACACACACAGTAGCAGAGAAGCTGAGTCCTTAAGAACGGGTGTGCTATACTGTTTAATTGGGCTTTTAGCTAGCTTTTTACCCAGTGTTTCTGCACGTTTGTTTTTTTACTTGTGATCGCCGCTCACAATAATGTCATCGTTTCCTCCCATCTTTTCTCCTTCTCCCTAACCCCACCACACAAACATGCACATGCACACATGTGCACACACATACACACAGAGGAATTTTTCAGTGTTTTTCGACGGCTCTACGATGAAGTAATTTTAAGATGAAAAAATTTAGGTAAGTTAAGATTGTAATATAAAGTTTATATTAAAAGCTCTATTTTATAAAAGACGCTATTCCACACTTCCCCATGTAATATGATTCATACTTGGTTTTTAAAAATTTTGTAAGCAAAAGGTTAATTTTCAAGATGTGGATTTAAAATTGGCTTTATGGTTGGTCACATGATCAAGTTTATAGTAATAGATAGTTTTATAGGATCAAAAAGGAAAATATTGGTATTTGAAATTTTTGCTTTTTTTGGTATTTTATTATGAAAATTTTCAAACAGGCAAGCCAGTTGGGAGAATTGAACAGTAGACTGCCGTACAACCCCCAAGCACCCCACAGCTAGCATTTTAATATATTTGCTTCATCACGTACTCATGCATCACTCTGTCCCTCCATTCATTCGTGAATCTATTATTTTAATGCATTTTCATTAACTTCTAGTTTTGGCACCCCTAAATACTTTAGCATGTTAATCATTAACTAGAATTTGGTTTTTCTTCTGGTTAAGGTGTTTTGTTTTTGGCATTTGGAGCCTGAAGATGGGAACTCGTTTATTTTTAAGGTTGCTGTACTCTTCTACATAATGTCCTTAGGTTTGAGGCTGTGGACTTCCTTGGCTAATAGGGCACTCATTTGGATAATGTTTGTTCCTGATAAATTAAAAGCCAAATCGCATGTAACTATTGAAGTTATGTAAGAATTTTGAACAGATGAGTGGAGATTTGGGTCTGATGAAGATTCTTTTGGGAAAAAAAATGGAATTACCATTGCTTCAGCTCTTGGTTGACTTCTATTTGGACTTCACTGTTCCTGTTTTGAATCAGTGGTCTGTTTATAGATATAATTTAAAATGTAATTAAGATTAAAAACAGTTTAAAACCATACACCGGGCAGAAACTCCCGAGCCCTGAGCACATTCATCATATTTCCATTTAATTCTAGGTATGCTCACTCCATATGCTCATTCAGGCCATTCAGTTTTAATAGGAAAAGAATATAAATGGTTCATTAGTGAAATTAATAGCTAATTAACGTGGCCATGGAGATGCTTCCATGCAGTGAACTGAACAGCATCGAAATGACCCCCTGGTAGTGACGGGGAGCCAGCCACTGAGAGATGCACCCCTCAGAAATGAACCTGCTGCTCTTTATGTCCGTTCAAGAGGACTGTTTTATAATTGAGGGTTCCCAAATCTTTTTTTTAATCCACTCCATGTGGGGGGTACAGATATTTGAGCCTCTAGCATTTCATCTGGCAGAGATGGGTTTTTCTCTCCAGACTGAAGAAGATGCCAGTTACCCAGAATTGGGTGATTTTGGGAGGATGCAGAACATCTTCAGTTCTTGGGTTATAATTACGGTTTGATGTTGGTCAAGAGCCAGGCTTTGCTAAAGACCATGAAAGGGTGTAGGAGTGGGGGCAAGAAATCCATCGTCAAAGACTCTGGTTACTGGCTTTTGAGTAAATCCTGTTTCAAAGACTAGTCCTCATACCATTTATATGGTTTTATATATGAAAGAAGACAACTGGAAAATGGCGTCTGAGAACAATGCGTAAACATTTCGCTTCACGTTCATTAAAATTGCCAGTTTCTTTCATTTGAAATGTCTGCTGTCTTTGAGCCAGCAATAAGTGAATCCCACAGTAAAGTCAGCTTGAAATGACTAGATGTCACCTTCTTTACATTTAGAAAATATTTCCATTTAAGATTTTTTTTTTTCTCATTAAGGACCTGGGAAGAGCCAACAGACAGAGGCCTAAGGTAAGTTCATAATGTCAGCCCCCTGCTTCAGCCCTTCCAATATCTAGTTGTGTCTGAGACTAGTACACATCTTGGGGGTTAGCAAATGGCTTACAGTTTTCTTTTCGGTTCTGACTTAGACCACCTCGGTTGTGATTTGTTTTGTTTGGTTTTGTTTTTTTAATGTGCTGTAGCCTCCAGCACCTGAAGATCTTGCGGTCATTTGTTTCACCAGTGGTACTACAGGTAAGTTTTGAAATGTGGTCTCTTCTGAGTGGTATCTGGAAGTGTGTACCCCTTGCCCCCTTTCTTGGATGGCGGGTGACGGGGGACTTAGTTGAGCTACAGATGGACCGAAAGCAGAGGACCTAGAGGGGCTCGAGCGCTCTTCTCTTGTCACCGTATCTGACCTTCTCGGAACCTGAGCGTGCCGTGTACTTCCTCGGACGGTTATGGAAGGCAACAGTAGATTCCCCATTTCCTGGGACAAACCGACATTTGATGTCCAGAAATAAAGTTCCTGGGTTTTCTCCTCTTACGTGCCCTCTAAAAGTCACCTATGTTAATAAATGTTGTTTATGATAAGAAGTTTCATGTAAAGTATGGCAGATTGTTCCGGAATGTCAGGTCATCCAATGTTTGGCTTTCCTGGGTGCACCTCAGGCTAGAGGCATAACCCAATTATACAGGGTTCTCGGCTTCCTTAATTTCTGTCACTTTTGGATGGACTTTCTTTAACTTTGTTCTGCTCCTGTGTGTTCCTCAGGCAACCCCAAAGGAGCACTGATCACTCATCGAAATGTAGTGAGCGACTGTTCAGCTTTTGTGAAAGTCACAGAGGTAAACTTTAGGGATTTTGTCCTCTTTCTTCATGTTCTTTGATTGGCATGAGGCCTCAAGAATGAGAGTGGTAAAGGCAGCCCCGCCATGTTAGGCCCCTGCTGTATTTGAGGTAGAGATAAGATCTGAGCTTTAATATGGTCTAAGTCACCTGCCCTCAAATTGTTTTCATTGCGGACCTAATCTCCCAACTCCTGCATGTGACCATAAAGCTGAATGGACAGAAGCTATTACAACTTTTATAGGGTACAACTTTATATGGATACTGCTCTATAAATGTTTCCAGGACAGGACCAAGAAGAAATGACTCTCTTGGGCTCTTATCTACCTACTATTCCAGTGTGGGGAAAATAATTTCTTTAAGTGGACAAATGCAATGTTCAATGGTACGCAGAAGGTTTCTGAATTATTATACTTTATCACAGTTGACTTCACTTCCATTTTATAAGAAAGATTAAAGCCTTGAACTTTTGTTGGTTTCCTATAATCTTAAAGTTTGTCCCCCCAAGTGTCCTAGTCCTCTGGGTGGCCGTAACGAAATCACACAGGCGTAGTGGCTTAAACGACAGATATTTATTTTCTCACAGTGCGGGAGGCTGGAAGTCCATGATCAAAGTATCAGCAAATTCGGTTGCTGGTGAGGGCTTTCTTCCTGGCCTGTAGGTAACCACCCCCTCAATGTGTCCTCACCTGCCCTTTCCTCTGTGTGTGCATGGAGAATGAAGGAGAGGTTTCTGGTGTTTCTTCCTCTGCTTACAAGGACACCTGCCCTATTGGATCAGGTCCCCCACCCCATGACCTCATTTCACCTGAATTACCTACCCCAGGGCTCCATCCCCAAATCCAGTCACGTTGGGGGTTAGGGCTTTAACATGAATTTGGGGAGGAGGGGGATACAATTCAGTTATAGCAGCAAGGGTATATTTCAAACTTGAGTTTTAAAAGTACTTCTTGAGCAATATAATGCCTTTCCCTCATACCTTTGCACATTTTACATAATTTGCTTTTGCAGTCTCTGGGAGGGTTCTTCTGTGAGCCCTAATTTTCACAACAGGAGCCCCCATGCTTAATGGTTTTGGGGAATGCGGGTCTTTGGTGGTTACAGAAGGCCCGTGTCTCACGCCTGCCTCCACCCACACTTTCTTAATCCCAGATACCTTTTTTGGTGTATATTTCATAACCAGAATTCAACATTTAGTACCTCACCTAAGTGGAATTTTCATTTCCTAATTAGCCTCTGAAGAAAACTTAAAATACACTCGTGGCTCACTGAGGCAAATGATTACAGACTTTGTTTAAAATTAATGATAAGATCGGGGCATTCTCAACTTTGTAAAACTTCTAATCTTGCTAATGCACATTTTTGGGGGTACCAAATCGGAAAACTGAAAAGTGTAGAAATTACTGAGTCTGACTTCTCATATAAACTGTTTCCTCCTGAGATGAACTAGTTGGGATGCAGATCACACTTGACTAAAATTGATCTAAGATTGTGGCAGGTTCAGGCTGCATCACGTGCTTCTGGGGCTGCTGGGTTTGCTCAGGACTTTGGCGGGGGGGGTGGGCATGGCCCGGAAGTGGTCACATAGGCACCTGACGGGGCCTTCATTTCTTAATTGCGGGGGGGCAGCAGCTGCTAGAGGCAGTCTCCGCTTTGGCCAGAATTCCTTATGTGAATAACATGAACATTCCGCGCAAACCCTCACTATGCCTGGCTCTAAGTAAAGCCCATTCTTAGCCTTGCAATGGAAACCAGATGTCCCCCTCAGCCTTGATGTAGACCTCTGTCACAAATCAGCATTTTATAGGAGATGGTATCAGATCAGAGCTTGCACTAAACAAACCGAGACATTTTTCATGGGGTGTAAAGCAGGCCATTCAGGTAAAGATGTTGATCAAACTAAAATGCTCAAAATGCATTCATACTATACATTAAAGCAGCCTGGAAATCAGTTTTTCTTATCTTCCCTCCTTCTATCCCTTTACAACATAAAATGCTATTTTATGTTGGAATAGATCTTCCATTTCCACAACATATGCTATGTTCTGTTGGAACGGACCCTTTATTTCTTACTTAAGGTGGAATTGAGCTTGCTGGACAATGGGGTCTGGTAACTTTGAAATACTAAATGATTAAAGTACATAATCCCTTAATTAATATCCCAATTTGGACAAAATTTTCCCTATTTGGACTAAAGCCCAGAGTGGGTTTACTTTACCATGAGGAATGACCTCCACTCTAATTGAATAATTAGTTAAAGTATTGCTTTTTCATTTCATCCTTTGGTGAGAAATAACTGCAGATTGTAAGCAAACGGTACTTGTCCTTAGCATTAAGGTATTATGTGCTCTGAAATAAAATGGGAAATTACTGGGAATATTAAGGCTTCTCTCCTTGCTGGTGTCTTTGCTTACAGAATACAGCCAACCCTTCCCCAGATGATACTTTGATATCTTTCTTGCCTCTCGCCCATATGTTTGAAAGAGTTGTAGAGGTAGGCCTTGTTTTGTTTTCTTTGTGCTTGCTTGCTCGTTTGTTGGTGTTCTGCTAAGTTGTTGTGTTTTACAGACAGTTCTTGCCTTGAATGCCAGTGACACACACATTTCGTTTTTACCACTTGCACACATGTATGAGCAGCTGCTTCAGGTAAGTTTTCACGGGCAGACTGTCATCCCCAGAGAGAATTCTTTGCTCAGCCCCATTTTAGAAATGGTGCTAATTGCTTAAAAGAGTATAAATGTTGGGAGTGGAAGTGGGGGTGGTCCGAATACTTGAACTTTAATCATTCATTTTAAAATTAGATGCTCAGACTTCTGAAGGCTATGCACATGGGTGTGATTCCAGAAAGATTAACTGTAAAAAGTAGAATTTTTATGAACGCCATCCTGCAAAGCCCCGTGAAGCTTCTGCCTCTGTAAATAGCTTCCGGTTTTCACTTGGCTTGTTCATAATGCACCAGTCGGCTTAAGATTCATTTTTTTCACCAATATTCCAAGTGCCCTTGGAAAAGCAGGATGATCTTTAGCTAACCTTGGCCTGGGTCACGTGTATACAACTGTGACGAGAACCATCACTTACTTCTCCTTCTTGGGACAATGTTGGGTCATATACTTCCAGGAAAAGCCAGTGGGCACCATTCATTCATTTGACAAATATTTATTGAGCACCCGTTGTGGGCCAAGCACTGTGCGAGGTGTCAGTGACCCAGACGAATCGAGAGGTGACTAACTGAGAGCGAGCAGCCCTTTGACTGGCTGCTGGCCTGTAGGATGCACTTACCCTGAAGGATCAAGGGTCACGAGATTCCCATCTTGCATCTGTTACCTCGGTTCCTGCACACCTCAGGAGGTCTTGTGACTTTCCAAAGTGATCTCAAATGAGTTGATAATGGCCCACGTACACCTAGTGCTTTTGGAAGGGTGCCTGGGCGCACACTCCCTGAGCTTGAGTTTTTAAACCAGGAACCAGGGTGTACGTTTCCAGTGGTTTCTGCTTTCAAGCCTGAGACCATGTGTACTTCCGTGGCATCATCTTTTGACACTCTCTTTCTCTTTAACGTTTAAAATAGGCTGACTGTGGGTCAAGTGCATATGGCTTGCCGGGGCAATTTGCATTGGGCGGGAACAAATCCATGCAGTAGATTATAGCTGAACGTCAAGCCAGTCTGCTGTTTGATGCCCCAGTGTCTGAACTGCAACAGAGTCAGTGGTCTTTCAGACATTTCTTCAGGAGATTCAGATTTTAAAAATGAGACTTTAATAAGCTGGCAAATAGCCAAGTTTGCAAGTAGCTAAGTTTTGGGGGAATAAATTAAGCCTAAAGTTTCCAGGCAAGTACAATATTTGGATTACATAACACCGTGGCATTCATTCACCAGCTATTTATCCTAAAGCTAAAACAGCAGAAGCTCCATGATTATCACTAAAAACAGCATAGTCTGGTTTCTTACCAGCTCCTTTATCTTCAGGGGGATCCAGAGAAAAAAACCACACTTTGATGTTGTGCAATGACCAGGGAATGCAAGAACATTTTTTGAAAAGCTGTCGACACGCAGGAACTTAATGGTTTCTGGAAACTGGTCCAAATTGCTAAAACAGAAGCCTTGTGTGTCTGTGTGTATGTTGCGTAGTCCCTGCTTTGATGACAACATGTGGGTTATTTTTGTTTACTGCCCTAGTGTGTAATGCTGTGTCATGGAGCTAAAATAGGATTTTTCCAAGGAGATATCAGGCTGCTTATGGATGACCTCAAGGCACTTCAACCCACAATCTTTCCTGTGGTCCCCAGACTGCTGAACCGGATGTTTGACCGAGTAAGTTCCAAGGAGCAGCAGAGTGGGGGACAGAGCACTGGACCCAGAGTCCGAGACTTGGGTTTGAATTAGGCCCTCCAGGTACCTTCTGTAGGCCATCCCAAAAAGTGCAGTTTACCCAGCGGTAAAGCCTGAATGCATTTACCTCGCAGAGCCTTTGGTGAAGATGATAAGAGAAAACAGGTGAACATACTTTGTAAACTGGAAGACCCAATACAGGTAGAAGATGGAAGGTCATATTATTTGTACCATAAACTCTTTAGAGCCTCTGTTTTCTCATCTGCATGATGGACTGTGTTACCTCCTCCTGCTGTCTAGCTCATAAAGCTGCCAATTGCATCACATGATAACTATAATTATGAAATGGTTCTAGAAATTGTAATGCCCATGAGCATGTAACATTACTCAGCCACATGGAAAGAAGTGACAAGCCAAGCCAGGGGTGGAGAGAATGCCAGCCCCTCTGTGGGGGGTCACTGTGGCATGGACCACACATCCCAGGCAAGACCAGCATGTGACATGAGCAGTCTTCAAGATAAATTTGGACGGGGCAGTTTTCATGCTCTCTATTGTAAGGCAGGGCTTCTGTGATCTATGAGAACCTTCTCTCTCTCTCTTTTTTAATAGTCCTTTAAAAAAAATTTTTAAAAACAGCTTGATTGAGATATATAATTCACATTCCATATAATTCACCCGTTTAAAGTGTAAAATTCAAAGGTTTTTGGTATATTCACAGAGTTCTGCAACCATCACCACAGCCCATTTTTATCACCTCTGAAAGAAACCCTGAATCTGCCCAGTAGCTGTTCTCTACCCCCTCCGACTCCCAGGCAAAACGAATCTGCTTTTTGAATCTGTAGATTTCCCTCTTCCGGACCATCATGTGAATGGAATCCATGATTATCACTAAAAACAGCATAGTCTGGTTTCCGTGTTCTCTTGTGACTGGCCTCTTTCACGAGGTTCATCCATGTGGGAGCACGTGACAGTACTCCATTCCTTTTAATGGCCAAGTAATATTCCATGTATGGCTAGAACATATTTTATTTATCCCTTCATGCATCAGTAGGCCTGTGGGTTGTTGTCACTTCTTGGCTGTCATGCATAATGATGCTACGAGCATTCTATACCAGTGTCTGTGTGGACCCGTGTTTTCATTTCTCTTGGGTACTTTACCAAGGGGCGGAATTGCTGGGTCCCGTGGTACTTCCGTGTTTCACTATTTGAGGAACTACCAGTCTGCTTTCCAAAGCAACTATGCCCTATTACATTCCCCGCCTCCAGCAGCAGACGAGGGCTCCCATTTCTCCACATCTTCACCAACACTTGTTATTTTCTGACTTTTCGATTCTTGCCATCCTTGTCATTTTGTAACCATCTTTTCCTTCTTGACCCATCAGATTTTTGGGCAGGCAAACACCACGCTGAAGCGATGGCTGCTGGACTTCGCCTCCAAGAGGAAAGAAGCAGAGCTTCGCAGTGGCATCGTTAGAAACAATAGCCTGTGGGACAGACTCATCTTCCACAAAATACAGGTGCTACATTCTCAACTCTTGTTTGCTAGGGAGACTACCTTGGGCTTCGGAGTGTCTATGAGGGCCCCTTCTTGGGGCGCCTGGGTGGCTTAGTTGTTAAGCGTCTGCCTTCCGCTTGGGTCGTGATCCCAGGGTCCTGGGATCCAGCCCCGCATCAGGCTCCCTGCTCAGCTGGGAGTCTGCTTCTCCCTCTCCCTCTCCCTCTCCCCCTGCTTGTGTTCCCTCTTTCGCTGTGTCTCTCTCTGTCAAATAAATAAATAAATAAATAAATAAAAATTATGAGGGCTCCTTCTTAAAGCGAGGTGTGATGGTGAGGGAGAAGGGCACGTTGTTGGTTATCTGGGCACATTTCTAAAAATTAAGGACAAAGCCGGTACATAAACCTCAGTGTCCCATGCAAGCCCGAACAACATGGTAACATGGAAGGGCAGAAAAGGCCTCAGGGGAGTAGAGCCTCTGTAATTTATTTTTTACTTTTTTTAATTTAAATTCAATTAGCCAACATAGAGTACCTCATTAGTTTCAGATGTAGTAGCTCAGTGATTCATCAGTCTAATTATTTTTTTTTTTAAGATTTATTTATTTGAGAGAAAGAGAAGGAGCACAGGAGGGGGGAGGGGGCAGGGAGAGAGAGAATCTCAAGCAGACTCTATGCTGAGCACGGAGCCCGACGTGGGGCATGACCCCAAGACCATGACCTGACCCGAAATCAAGAGTCAGATGCTTAACTGACAGAGCCACCCAGGCACCCTGGGCCTTTCTTATTTTTTATCTTGCTTTCCTTTTCTGAAGCAAGTACATTACTCATTTCTTAGGCACCAGTGATAAAGAATGCAGAATAATAATACTATGTCCCCAAAAATGCCACATGTGGTGGTTGCCTCCCAACCCACCACAGTCTTGTTCTAATTCCTTCAAAATACCTGCAGGTAGAGGTATTGGCTTGTTTTTCTTTTTTTTTTTTTTTTTAAAGATTTTATTTATTTATTTATTTGAGAGAGAGAGAGAGAAACAGCATGAGAGGGGAGAGGGTCAGAGGGAGAAGCAGGCTCCCCACTGAGCCGGGAGCCCGATGTGGGACTCGATCCCAGGACTCCGGGACCATGACCTGAGCTGAAGGCAATCGCTTAACCAACTGAGCCACCCAGGCGCCCTTGGCTTGTTTTTCATACCCGTTGAGAGAGAAGGGTGTAGCGTCAGGAGGAAACCAGCTCCAGCCAGGCCTTCCTCTTTTGAATGCCTGTGAGTTCTCTGCACTTTGGTGAGCTCCATGTGGCCTGCAGAGAAGGAGCCAGTGGATCCGGGCCCCGGGTTCCCAGAAGGGGTCTTTGAGGAGCCCGCCCCCATGCAGCCATTGGCCCCTCACTATCTCCCCTCTCCTTGCCTTGTAAGTCGAGCCTGGGAGGAAAAGTCAGGCTGATGATCACAGGAGCCGCGCCTGTGTCCGCCACCGTGCTGACGTTTCTGAGAGCAGCGCTCGGCTGTCAGGTGAGGTGGGCGTCACGCGGCTGGTTGTCTCGGGCTTTTTCAAGCCCAGGACTCTCCTTTCCAAAAAGTCAAAGTGTGTGTCTCATTTTGGTTTGGAAGATCACGTTATTCTCAGGTTGCTTAGAGACCCCAAGGCAGGAGATGATGCGTCTCTGGCCACCACAGACGGGTAAAGCACAGCCAGGAAACTTGCCTTTAATCCGGCCTGAGGGCACGGGGATGGGTTGCAGGTAATAAGCCGACCTGCAAACCCTGGAGAGAACCTGCCTTAAAGAGGGCGGGGGAGGCAGCCGAGCCTGGGCAACCAGGACAGGTGTGAGGCACAGCCGTGAGTGGACAGAGCACCGAGTGCACTCCTGGGTGGGTCATGTGCAGTGTGACCTGTCGGGCCGTATTGGCGGCCCCCTCGCCTGTCTACAGTAGGGCGAGTAGAAGATGACCACGGACAATGGCCGGGGTTTCGGGTTGGGGGTGAAGATGTTTGGGTGCTATCATAGTAGTTCTGAACAGATTTTAAAAAGAGACGTGTCACCACGGTTAGCCATCACTCAGGAGTGAGGAGAACGTCCTGATCTGTGCCCTTGCAGCACAGTGTGACTGTTCTCTTTAATGACGTTTCGTCTCTTGGTGGCCCAGTTTTATGAAGGCTACGGACAGACCGAGTGCACCGCCGGTTGCTGTCTGACCATACCTGGGGACTGGACAGCAGGTAGGAGCCATGGGACACTCCTTATGGGGGTCTCCTTATTCCGGTGGGCGTTCTTGGAATTGGGTTCCTCCTCGGTTCGTTGACCAATGGAAGTTCTGTGTCTCGAGTGATTAGGCCTTGGGGCGAACAGTCTTGTCAATCAGGGATCCTTGTGGGAAAGGGCTGCTATGGCAGAGCATCCATGCTTGGAGGACCAGCTGGAAGGTGGGTGGCGTTAGATTCACCTAGAATCTGAAGCTGACAGCTGAGGGATAAAAGCCCTTTCCCCCGGGTTCAGAACATTTGGCCCCACAGAGCTTTCTGGGAATGGATTGGGGTCGAATTATTTGCTGGTAAATTTGACTTGAGTCTACACTGGGTGCTGGGCCGGGTGTTGAGACCACAGAGAGAAAGAAACAAGTCATTTCTCCCAAAAGGCGCAAGGAGAGGCAGATACGAAAATAATCGACGGAGCAGTTGTCCTTAAGCACATGGCTGCGTTTCATCCCCGCACCAACCCTGTGGCCTAAGTCCTGTTACCTCTGAGAGGAAATGAGTGTTGGTGAAAAAGCACATAAGCAGTGTCTAAGAATTTACCCGGCATTATGCTTCAGAGCCAGGATTCCAACCCAGCTCTGATGGTGGTACATTCTGCACTCTGATACGTGAACGCCACTAATTTATTTGGTATATTATAAATATGAGCACCGTCTAGGAACATGGATTCTCATGTCCAGACTCTAGAAGCTCAATTCTGCTGGGACTTGTACTAACAATCTCTAAACCTTCTTCCTGGTTTAATTTTTAACCCCTGGTTCCTTACCAGCCTAGAGAATTTGGAACAGTGATCTCTTTACACAAACATCATTAAAACATAGGAGGAATTATTTGTGATGCCCTTTTTTTTTTTAAGATTTTATTTATTTATTTATTTGAGAGAGAGAGAGATCACAAGCAGGACTTGGGGCAGACAGAGGGAGAGGGAGAAGCAGGCTCTCCACGGAGCAGGGAACCCAATGTGGGATTCGATCCCAGGACCCTGGGATCATGACCTGAGCTGAAGGCAGTCGCTTAACCAACTGAGCCACCCAGGTGCCCCCGCACCATCCTATCTTAATAAATTTAAATTTAAAATGTGTTCACCCAGGGCGCCTGGGTGGCTCAGTTGGTTAAGCGACTGCCTTCGGCTCAGGTCATGATCCTGGAGTCCCTGGATCGAGTCCCGCATCAGGCTCCCTGCTCAGCAGGGAGCCTGCCTCTCCCTCTGACCCTCCCCCCTCTCATGTGCTCTCTGTCTCTCTCATTCTCTCTGTCTCAAATAAATAAATAAAATCTTTAAAAAAAAAAAATTTAATAAAAAAAAATAAATAAAATAAAATAAAATGTGTTCACCCATACTTAAGGAAGTAAAGACCATCTTGGTCAGAACCAGGTGACGTTGCGAGAATAATCCAGTTTGGCAAAGTTGTGTATTTTCTCTTCTTAGAGAAAGTGGGGATGTTGAGAAGAAGTCTGTGTGAGTGAGGGGTGGTAAATGATGAGCAGGGGCCGTCAGACCATAGGAGCCTGGTAAAAGTTTTAGAAAGCTTGCTTCCAGGTATTTGTAGAAACCCTTACAGTCGACAGCCAAATTATTCATACTTTGAAAAAATAATTTGGGGCATCAAACTGGGGAAAGATCCTAAGAGACTTGTGAATGTTTGTCTCTATTCTAGAAATACACTCTCTGTGCTCATTTACTGGGGGAGCCGGGCTGGCATTGCTGCAAACAGACGTTTATATCAGCTGTTCCCATCACGAGCAGGCCTGTTGGCCATAAACGTCATTTGGCTTAAGGATAGTAGGAGTCCTCCTGGGAATGATCATTCTTTTATTTACCACGCAGGCCATGTTGGTGCCCCAATGCCTTGCAACCTTATAAAACTTGTGGACGTGGAAGAAATGAACTACTTGGCTTCCAAGGGCGAGGGTGAGGTGAGTGAACCACCAAGTCGCTCATCCACGTTGCCATCCCCCTGATAGCTTGGCCGCTTCTCGGCAGCGTCCCATAAAGCCTCTGAATTTGACGTTATTGGTGATCCTGGATCAAACGGGCTTCTCTTTGAAGGGCCTTTATGGGGGAGGGGGACCACGAACGTCTCTTCCACCAGACACCGCAGGGACTTGGGCTCGAGAGCATGCAAAGTCTCCATGGCCTGAAGACCTGAAGCACAGCTCCTGTCAGCTCATGGCCCTGGAGACCTATTAGTGAGCCACTGGCTAGTGGACGGAAAGCCTAATGACTTCAAAGTGATTTACTCCCCTTTGGGGCTTTGATCCAGAACCTCAGGCAAGCGTTAGCCCTACAACCTGACTGCAGCTGATGTTTTGAGGACAAGGGAACAGGGGCATTGGACGTACCTCCAGGGTCCCAGTGTGGTTGTGCTGGTGCACTCTGGATCATGGAATTCAGGGCTTCTCGCTAAAGGTTGAGATACGCACCCCCCCACACACACACTCGTTCTCTCTGGAGAACCCCCGTAAACGCTGTTCCAGATCACCTTTGTCCCCCGCAGTTCTGTTGAGATGTTATTGACATACATGCTGTATGCGTTTAAAGGAAACAGCATAATGGGTTGACGTCCATCTATGGTGGATTACTCCCCACAATAAGTCTCGTTAATATTCCATCATCTCACACAGATACAAGAAAAACAGAAAAAAAAAAAGTTTTTTTTTTCCCCATGATGAGGACTCTGAGGATCTCGTCTCTTAACTGTTAAATATGATCACGTGTCTGTGTGAGTTGTGGTCGCTGGGCTGTACATTCGGTCCCTGGTGCTTACCAGTCTCCTAATCGGAACTTTCGACCCCCTCCCTCCACTTCCCCCTAACCACCCCCCTTCCCAAACTTTCTCTCCTCAGGTGTGTGTGAAAGGGCCAAATGTATTTAAAGGCTACTTGAAGGACCCAGTGAAAACAGCAGAAGTTCTGGACAAAGACGGCTGGTTACACACGGGGGACATTGGAAAGTGGCTTCCGGTAAGCACTCACCTCCCCCGTTCGTTCACAGATACTTTTCTTCTGCCATTTGCTGTTGTGCGACCTCACTTTTTCCCTTTCCCTGCTGAGGGGGGCAAGGAGGAGGCTCTTCCATTTCCTGCAGGGAACAGCTTTATACTCTTAGTGTGCCTGGGTAGGGTTGTCACTTGAACTGTAGCGAACATGTTTGGTTTTGATGCGTGACATCAATTCCGGTTGCGGCTTCCTGTTTGAAATCCAGAGAGACAATGTATGGCTTTTTCTATATCAGTGCTGGGCCTCGATGTGAAGGCCTTATTAGTTGAGCGAGGTGGGGGGGACATTGTGGTCGACGGCCAGGAAGGTGTGGTGGGCAAGAAGTTGCGAGTGTATGTTTCTTAGGCTGGTCATCTCATTAAAAACAGGGTAAGCGTCCCACGGTTAGGCCAACACCTTCAAACACAGGTAGTCTCAGAATTGTTACTGTAGACAAAGGCCAGGGTCCATCGGAGGAGGGAAAAGAACCTACAAGAAGCGCCACCCATGGGTTTGACCAGTTTGGCTTGCCGCTGCTTTTTCTAAGTTGTCACTGTGTTGAATTGCTATTACTAAAATGGCTAAGGCAAGTTTTATTATTGCATGTCGTTCGATTCTTATAGATTTAATGTACGCGACACTCCCGGAAATTTTTAGATTTGGAAAATACTCCTCCTCCCCACCCAGTTAATTCAGACTTCAGAATACCCAAGCTATTCAGAAATAAATTAAGTCCCTCTTTTCAAGTTCAAGAGGGATTGGGCGTCAGTTCCAATTCTGGCTCAGGCTCTAGTGAACACATTTCATCGTCTCCTTGGACCTCAGTCTGCTCCTTGGGGAAATGGCACAGAACCAACGTGCAGTGAGAGAACCGGAGAAACTTGCCTACAGCTGACTTTTGGAAGCACAGGAAGGACCCCGGGGTGGGGACGGGTGGACAGTCAGCTGGGGGTTTTGGCAACCAGAGGTGGACACGATGGCATTTGGCTCGTCTAGGGCAGGAGTTGTATCCTTCCCACGGTCCGCACGTGGACCGCTGACGGACCCTGCCCCAGGGGCCCAGGAGCGAGCCCCTCCCACCCCCACCCCTGCCTCCGCCTTGAAACAATGACGAAGGTGGCATTTGGCCTTTCTATAGGAGCTTTTACTGAGCCTTGCTCTGTGCAGGGTGCTCTAGGAGGACAATCTGTGTCTGTACCCTTAAGGAGCATGACTCATCCTTGGGGAGGCAGATACACAGCACACAGAGCGCGGCTGGTGGGCTACCAGGGATGAAGTGAAGGGCGTGGACTCTGGAGTCCCTTTCTCTCTCTGTACTTGACTCACTGGCTTTGGGCAGGTTACTTAGTCTCCCCAAGCCTTAGTTTCCCGCTCTCTAAAATGGGCTGATAACTGGCCCCTGGGCAGTGTTACCAGGATTAAAGGAAAGCATGTGAGAAGTGCCCTGGACTGGGTGTGATTGATATGGGGCTGGGACGGGGGTGTCCCCCAGCCACAGACCCACTCACAGCGCCTCCCCTCCCCTCCCCTCTAATAAACAGAATGGTACCTTGAAGATTATCGACAGGAAAAAGCACATATTTAAACTGGCACAGGGAGAATACATAGCACCCGAGAAGATTGAGAATATCTACCTGCGAAGTGAACCTATCGCTCAGGTGTTTGTCCATGGAGAAAGCTTGCAGGTACGTGTGTTCTGGGGTGTGAGCCGTGTTGCCCAGGTGTGCCCGGCGCCTCGAACTCCGGACGTTTGCAGTGCGATGGAAGGTCTGCGATGAGTATTGAACTGCCTTTCACCTGTGACATGCTGGAATATTATTGGGGTTTGCTGCTTGGCATTTCTCATCCAGAAAAGTTTTTCTCTTTAAATTCCATATTTTTATTTTACCTAACTAGAGTGGTCTGGCGTACCAAGGGGAGTTGAATAAAGATGTTAGGGAGTGGGTAAAATAGGCTTCTAATTTAAACTATGAAAGGAAATATTGATAGATTATAAGAAAGTTTAGAATTTTCAACATATTAGACCCAGCGTATTTATGCTGTGTCTCCTAAATCATGTTTGAACAGTGGGGGTTGTGAGCCGGTGTATACATGAAGTTGAAAACCAAGGTCAATATTGTAGTGTAACGTCTCTTTGCCAAAATATTGGGCAGATGGTGGCAAGGGAGAGAAAGTGGTCTTGTTTCCTGAAAGCTAATCTTTTTACGAATCTTGAGACTTTTAGATACTTGTGGAAGAATATTTTATTACCTTATAAGGAATGCACCTATTTTTCTTTGAGAGTATACCTGTTTTTCTTTGACCTAGAATCTTTCTTTTTTTAAGATTTTATTTATTTGACAGAGAGAGAGAGAGCACAAGCTGGGGGGGGGGCAGCAAAGGGAGAGGGAGAAGCAGGCTCCCCACTGAGCAAGGAGCCTGATGCGGGACTTGATTCCAGGACCCTGGGATCAAGACCTGAGCTGAAGGCAGGTGCTTAACTGACTGAGCCACCCAGGCACCTCTCTTTGACCTAGCGTCATGCCTTCGATTTTTATTTAGTTTTATTGTTACTAAATTGTAAAAAATGTGGCATTGGAGATCTAAAAACATCTGTATAAATTTTTTTTCTCTCCTTTTAAAAGCAGTTACTTGATATCCATTATCTTGTCTGCTTATTTAACTGTTTTATTAAAAAATATATATAAATATGTATGCAAAAGTAAATAAAAATCAGGGTTTTGTTAGGTTTTGATTCCTAGTGGTCCTTTTAAAACATTTAATTGCAAAATTCCTGCTGCTGTCTGTATTTTAGAGCCGGGAGCTCTTAACCTGGGCTCAGTAGACTCCTGGGGCTGGTAATATGTTCCGAAAAGAGGGTCTGTAACATCTATCAGATTCTCCCGTGGTCCATCATGCAGAATGATAAAGAATCTCTATTTCAGAACATCTGGATCAAGCCACATAATAACTCACTTGTCTGTTTTAAAGGCATTTCTCATAGCAATTGTGGTACCAGATGTTGAGACATTATGTTCCTGGGCCCGAAAGAAAGGATTTGAAGGCTCCTTTGAGGAACTGTGCAGGAACAAGGTAAGGCTCGGGGAGTGTGTGGTCTGGCTTCTGTACCTTGGCCTGGCATTGAGCGTGCCTCCAGAGACCTGCAGCACGGCAAGCGTGTTGTTTTCTCACCTTCCTAGGACGTCAAAAAAGCCATCCTGGAAGACATGGTGAGGCTTGGGAAGGAATCTGGCCTGAAACCATTTGAACAGGTGAGATTTGCATCACCGTGCACGCACCCCTACAAAACAGGTTTCTGACCTGAGGGTTCTGTGTGAATAGGTATGGAGCACGAGGGGACCTAAAGAAACCCACGAGGAATGAGTAAGGGCGAGCTTTGGCCAGGGGGGAAAGATTTCTGTAACCGAGGGCAGGCACTCTCTTCCCTTGGAGGTCGGGGTCCAAGCCCGGATCCTGTCCTGGGAGCAGCCCCTGCCTTGTGTTGAGCGAGCCCACTGGCCCGAGTCCAGGGAGGGACTGGATCGGCCATGGGGTCTCCATCCGTTCTGACCCACGTGCTTTTAGGCCCAGGTTGATTCTGCCCTCGGTTTTTGCTTTAATGGCCTCGTTTATTTGCAGGTCAAAGGCATTAGTCTCCACACTGAATTATTTTCTATCGACAATGGCCTCCTGACTCCAACGATGAAGGCAAAACGGCCCGAGCTTCGGAATTATTTCAGGGCACAGATAGACGAACTTTATTCCACCATCAAAGTTTAATGCCAGGAAGAAACCACACCCCTCCGCAGTCTCCTGCTGATGGCCTTCACGTTGGTAATTTTGACTAGAGTGCGCGTAGGAAAGGGAGCGTCCACGTTTGACTTGTGCATTCGGGGTTCTCGCCATAGGAATTTCAGAGGACACGGAACACTGCCTTACGGTCACCTCCTGTTGCAGACCATGTATATGGTGATACACAGTTTCCAAAATGAGCCTTAAAATCGTAAAGGGGAAACGATCCACGTGCTAAGTTATTTGAGACTTCCTCTGTTTAAAAAAAAAAAAAAAAGGTGGTGAAAACTTCTGTCTCCCCGTTTTCTAACCAAGGGATTAGGACTTCGCTATTTCTGAGACGTCTGCTACTTGCTGCAGATTCTGCCGCTCTGCAAGGTACAGTGCACTGGAGGGAAGCTGTCCCTTCAAAGCAAGAACTGTTCCAGCTGGAGAACGTGGCAAGCGGGCCAGAGATTTTTTTAAACCCCTGCCTCCTCGCCTTCCCCACTTCACACACGCCCCGACGAGCCTTCTGCTGTCGGGTCCGGAGCGGCGCGTGCTTCTCAGCAGTCCCTGTTGTCCTGTAGGAGCAAAAGGTTCCCGGGGACGGAGGCAACAGATCCGACTCAGAACAGCACAGATGTCGTCTCGGATGAATGGGCGCTCACCTGAGCGAGCGGCTTCTGGTGCCCGCGGAGCAGAATGATCTCAGACCCTCTTCTCCAGACCCGATTCCCGTCCCCCACCCCCCACTACTCCCTCCCAGGGGTTATTAAAAAATCTGCCTTAGACTCTGCAGTGAAGACAAGCATTTCAAGAAGGAAATAATTACCTGGATCGCCCATGCTCAACTGTGACGCCTCATGAACTGTCCCCTTTATCATCGCTGAACCAGTCATTCTTTGTGATGGCCAACGGATTTTTAATGTGGTTTTCATATCAAAAGATTGTGTTGTGATTAAGTGGCTTTTTCCACCCCCAAATAAATTCTCAGGCAGGGCATGTCTTTAAACCTATTAAGGGAATAGATATACTTGGGTACTTATTGAAATGGACAGTAATAAGCAAATGGTCTTATAATGCTACCTGATTTTTATGAAATGTGTTTGACAAGCCAAAATTCTAGGAGATAGAAATCTGGAAAACTCATTTTCTGGGATTAACTTCTCAAGGGATTTTTTTAAAAAAAGAAAAAGTTAATTTGGGAATTTAGCTGCATTTCACTTGACTGCAAGTCTTTGCTACGTGTGACTGAATTAAGTTGTCATTTATACATTGAAAGCAGCTGGTTTTGGCTTTGTGAGAGTTCCGTGTATTATACAAGCACGACGGGGTTGGCACCGAAGAACTGTCATCATAGTAACACTATTTGGTAGCCTAACTTCATGTGTGTGTTCTTCATTGCACAAAAAGTCAGTAATTTGTCACCTTGGGGTTTTGAATGTTTGCTCTAAGTGTTGGCTATTTCTATGTTTTATAAACCAAAACAGAATTTCCAAAAACAATGAAGGAAACCAAAATAAATATTTCTGCATTTCAAGCGAGTGAAAGCCTCTCTTTTCATGACCGGGGTAGTGTTCGGGCCAGCCTCGGACGTGCGCGGGTGCAGAGCAGGATGGGCCCTCGGCCGCAGACCCGCCCGCCTGCCACTTCCCTGACCCCCACGTAGGGTGACCCGGGGCCTCCGGCCGTGTTCTCTGGCAACAGCCCTGCTATGTTGTGCAGAAGAAACCATGGTGTGAATAATACGGATATTCTTGGAAATGCAAATTCTTTGCTGGGAAGCTCTGTTTCTGGAGACATTGGCTGTAGGTGGCGGTTCTGTGGTGGATTTAATTCCGTGTATTTTAGTAATTCTCTTACTAAGCACTGTTTTAGAAGATGTCTCATTCGTAGCAGCCAACTTTTTCTCTTTCCTTTTCCTCTGGTTTCCAGGCTACACTGTCATTGTAAAGATTTTCCTCTTCTGTAGGTGTTCAGCCCCCAGTTCCTTCTCTAGTGTGTGGGGTTGAAATCCGCCTCCCTCCCTTAAATCTCATGTTTGGTGTGGAGATGGTTGGTTTTTTCCTCTAAAGCCCAAGCCCCGTTCACACATCTCGGGTGAGGCTCTGAATCCATTCTGCCTTTGGCTTGAGCTAATAAACTCCTTATCTTGTCTGCCCTCGTCGTCTCCCCTTTCTCTTCCTCTTCCCCTGAGTTGAGTGAGTGTGAGCGTCTTCACACTGGGCATGACCTTTCTTTTCCCTCCCTGAGCGCCCAACATGGCCTGCAAACCAGTAGGTGTTCATTAAATCTCATGTGAACAAATACTTGCAATTTGGAACAAAGCTTCTCTTGTAATGAGGTTGATCTTCCCGCTGGGTTTTATCCTTTTTTTCAAAAAAAAAAAAGTGGTAAAACACATAAAATGTATCATCTTAATTACTTTTTTTTTAAGATTTTATTTATTGATTGGAGAGAGAGAGCATGAGTGAGGGGCAGGGGCAGAGGGAGAGGAAGAAGCAGGCTCCCTGCTGAGCAGGGAGCCCGATGCGGGGCTCGATCCCAAGACCCTGAGATCATGACCTGAACCGAAGGCAGACGCTTAACTGACCGAGCCACCCAGGCGCCCCTCATCTTAATTATTTTTATTTTTTTTTTTAAAGATTTTATTTATTTATTTGAGACAGAGAGAATGAGAGAGAGAGAGCACATGAGAGGGGGGAGGGTCAGAGGGAGAAGCAGGCTCCCCGCCGAGCAGGGAGCCCGATGCGGGACTCGATCCCGGGACTCCAGGATCATGACCTGAGCCGAAGGCAGACGCTTAACTGACCGAGCCACCCAGGCGCCCCTCATCTTAATTATTTTTTTTTTTAAAGATTTTATTTATTTATTTGCGAGAGAGAGAATGAGAGACAGAGAGCATGAGAGGGAGGAGGGTCAGAGGGAGAAGCAGGCTCCCCGCCGAGCAGGGAGCCCGATGCGGGACTCGATCCCGGGACTCCAGGATCATGACCTGAGCTGAAGGCAGTCGCTTAACCGACTGAGCCACCCAGGCGCCCCTCATCTTAATTATTTTTAAGCACACCGTTCAGAGGCTTTAAGTGCATGCACGTTGTTGTGCAACCATCAGCACCATCTGTCCACAGAACTCTTCATCCTGTGAAACCGAAACTCTGCTCATCCATTCCCTCTCCCCAGCCCCTGGCAACCACCTTTGTCCTCGCTGTCTCCGTGAATTCCACTGCAGGTAAATCCTACAGCATATCTCTCTTTGGGACTGGTGATCTCACTTATCATAATATCCTCCGGGTTCATCCATGTTGTAGCGCAGGTCAGGATTTCCTTCCTTTTTATTTTATTTTTATTTACTTATTTTTTTGTTATAATAGTAAATTTTATTTAGTGCCAGGCCAATTTATTGTGCCAAGATTATATGTCCTTCATGACCAACTCAAAGTAATAACCTCTGGCCTTTTTGAAGGAGAATGGATACTCTTTGTTACACTCTTATTAATTCCCTTTGATCTTTTTTTTATTATGTTCAGTTAGCCACTGTATAGTATAGTACATCATTAGTTTTTGATGTAGTGTTCAACGATTCATGAGTTGCGTGTTAAACCCAGTGCTCGTCACAACGCGTGCCCTCCTTAATGCCCATCACCGGACTTCCGTCCTTTTTAAGGCTGAATAATAGTCCATTGTAGGCACAGACCACATTTTCTTTATCCTTTCATTTGCTGATGGACATTTGAGTTGTTCGGACCTTTTAGCTATTGAGAATAATACTGCTGTGAACACAGGTGTACAAATATCTGTTTTAGTCCCTGCTTTCAATTCTTTTGGGTATGCACCTAGAAGTGGAACTGCTGGATCATATATATGGTAATTCTATGCTTAATTTGTTGAGGAATTGCCATCCTGTTTGCCCCAGTGGCCGCACCCTTTGATGTTCTCACGAGCAGTGCACAAGGGTTCCAATTTATCCACAACCTGTCTGTAAACGTCCTCTCTGATTGGTTTCTGTGTTTGTGATAACGCACATCCTAATGGGTGTGAAGTGGTATCTCGTGGTGGTTTTGCTTTGCATTTCTGTAATGATTAGTAAGGGTCAGCATCCTTTCCTGGGCTTACTGGTCATTTGTATATCTTCTTTGGAGAAGTGTCTCTTCAAGCCCTTTGCCTATTTCTACAAATAGGGCTATTTGTGCATTTTGTTGAGCTATAGGCATTCTTTATATATTCTGGATATTAATCCCTAAACACTGTCTCAATTCTTAACTTCCGCGGTGCACTGTTTGGGGTCTGAGCCTGTTCAACAGCAGTAAATATTTAGTGGCACTCTTCCCACAAATCAGACCACATCTCCAGAGCCCAGTGGTCTGTGTCTCAAACCCAGCTGGAACAGAAGAGGATGGCTGACTCGGAATGAGGCAGTCTTTTCTTCTGTCCAGACCCCCTGTGTGTTAAGCTTCTCTCAGGAACAGCCAGAGAGCAGGCGTCTCCCTACAGACGAGGAGCGAGGATGCACGAGGAGTGAGGAAGAGCAAGCTAAAACCACAGTCGTCTCTCTGCGCTCAGAGCTCGTCCTGCCCCTTCCTGCAGGACCCCCCCCCCCATGACGCACCCACATTCTAGATCCAAAATCAGAAAGGCAGTTTGTTTTCAAGGATATTTGGCATTTGGTAAATAGGTTTGCCTCCCACTTTTTCAATTACTTGGAAGAAGGAGAACTGAAATGCATCCGATGTTGCCACACGCCAGGCGCTATTCTCAGCATTTTACCCAGATGCCCCACTTTACGTTACAACCCTTGGAGCCAAATGCTACCGCTGTCCCCATTTTACAACGAGGAAATCAAAGCACACGTGTGATGGGATCAATGCCACATACCAGACAGAACGGAAGCTGGAACTGAGCTTCCAACCTCATGCTGTGGATGTTTCTTCTTGTCCACCTTTGGCCGTGAACTTCTTTTTTTTTTTAATATTTTATTTATTTATTCATGAGAGTCAGAGAGAGAGAGAGGCAGAGGCAGAGGGAGAAGCAGTCTCCCCGCCTAGCAGGAAGCCCTGCGGGACTCGATCCCGGGACCCTGGGATCATGACCTGAGCCGAAGGCAGACGCCTAACCATCTGAGCCACCCAGGCGCCCTGGCCATGAACTTCTGACCAAACAGGTCGGTGGATTATTTCTCGGCCCTGCCCATTCTGCCTCTAAGCGTCAGTACAAATGGTTTTGATTCCTATCCTACGATTGCTCTTCGTCCCAGCAGGGCCTGATATCACTTCCCAGAGTCTTGTTCTGGTTTTATGGCTTATCCGAAATTAAATATAGTTGCTCTCTGTGATGTTGGTAACCCCAGATCCATCAAGGACTAAAAGTTTGGTAGAACGAGCCACTCTGTTTTAGAGGAGAGTGTGTGTGAGGCCGTGTACAGGCATGCAGCTGGTTCATGAGATCCCTCAGAAGTTGCTCTAGAAATCCTCAGGGGCGCCTGGGTGGCTCAGTTGGTTAAGCGACTGCCTTCGGCTCAGGTCATGATCCTGGAGTCCCGGGATCGAGTCCCACATCGGGCTCCCTGCTCGGCAGGGAGTCTGCTTCTCCCTCTGACCCTCCCCCTTCTCATGCTCTCTCTATCTCATTCTCTCTCTCAAATAAATAAATAAAATCTTTAAAAAAAAAAAAAGAAATCCTCAGGGATGGGGGTCCTGGCAGCTGTGGGATTATCCTAGGGAGTACACTCCTGTGCTATGCTGTGTTCGTTCCTTACTTATGTCCCCATTCAGTCCTTATAGAGACCCACTGGGGGGTGAATCCACAATTATGTGTTTACCATCAACAAACAAATGAGTTCAGATTGTGATGGGCGCTTTGAAAAAAACAACTGAGACAGTATTGGGGAGGGGACCACAGGGCCTGGTTTAAGTGTTGGGGTCAGAGAAGGTCCCTTTGAGGAGGTGACACTTACGGTGATGACCTGAAGAATGAGGAAGGGGAACCAGCTTCACAGGGTTTGGGGAAAGGGTTCAAAAAGCAGGATCGTGAGTGCAAAAGCCCTGAGGTGCGAAGGCGTGTGATGTATTCCAGGACCTGAAAGAAAGCGAGTGAGGCTAGAGCATCATAAGCGAGGGCAAGTGTAGTATTGGGAAAAGTTACAGAAGGAGGGCCGGGTTACCAGACAGGAATCTGGATATGACTCTGGGTTCAGGAGGAAACCAATGAGGGGTTTTGAGGCAGGGGGTAACATTCCCTGAATTACCCTTTTCAAAGACCACTCCTGGCTGTCACAGAGGGATCAGAGAAGCACGGAGACCATGCAAGGACAGCATGGTGCATAATGGCGGCTTGAACCAGGTTGGTGGCCGCGGAGATAGGAAAGGGGTTGGAGGTGGAACCAGGGAAAGGGAGGGATTGGGGTGTGCACACAGTTGGGGAGATGAGCACCTGCCCTCGCTGAGCTGGGAAGACTTGCATGGGCTTTGGGAGAGGGAATCAGGAGGTTGAATCTGGACACAGTTTCTCCTGGAGGTGCCTGCTAGACAAGCCCGTGAAGATAGGA